TACACAAAAATGACTGAGTTGGACGCCATTCTGTTTTTTAATAATAATGATACTAATTACAATTGACTTGTATAAGATTTTACACATTTGTGTAAAATCTATATATGTGTACAATAACAACATATACAACTTGATAAAGTTCATCAATTTTACTACTTAGGACATGTCAATAAAACATTCTATAAAATCTATTATAATAGTAATTATACATACTTACTCAGCAAACATTGTTGCCGCGGATTTACAGTGGACCTATTTAGACATTTTGAAAGGTTCATTAAAGTTTTGCTCATCAGGTACTTAGTGGACTATTAGAGGTATCCACTATAAGTAGCCAGCAGATAAATTTCTGAGATGTGATATCGTGGCTAGTCATTGGCTTGCCAATTTTGGCAGTGCCACTAATGGCCCACTATGTAACCAATAAGCAAAATTAATGTGAGCCGCTCAAAATGTCCACAGAAAATCCGCTATTGAATGTTTGTTGGGTATTTGATTGCAATCCAAACAATCGTTAAATCCCAGATTAAAACCGAATTAAATTTTTTTTTTTTCTTTTTAATTCGAACTTTTTTAAGTTTCATGTTCATTACTAACATATTTTCAAGAGTGCATTTTTACAGTAACATAACTTTAACTGTTGAAAGTTCATGAATTTTATTTCACAATTAATTTAAAATTAAGTAAACGAAAAAAGTAGCCAGTGGTTGTAAAAAACTTTTAATCATTTTTATTTAGTATCGATAGCTTTGACAATACATACATATGGATACAACGCTATATACGAATGTGCATTTTGAACAATTATAGACGCTATTTAAATTTTAAACTTTCCTGGTATTTTTTATGTATTTTTGCGCAGTTCAAAAGTTCTGTTTATTTTGATTTGATATTTCTGTATAAGTTCAAAGCTGTAAAAATGCAAATATTTGCAGAAACACAGAGTTTTAGCAAACACTAATACTAAACGCACTCTCTCTATGATTTTGGTGAAAGCTAATTTGAAGCATATAAATTCTTCGTTATACTATTGCATTTCCAGAAATTTACATAAAAATTCAAGGAGACAACAAAATTATATCCAAACAGATTTTAATAGATTTAACTGCATGCAACTTTTGAAAGGATTGAAGAAACTTAAAAATGATTAATAAAACTTGATTAAAAAAAATTGTTCTTTGAAATGAAAAGCATAAGCCAAGCTTCTGTTCATTCAGACCCTTAAACTGCTTGAAAATGTTTGAGCTACTCGTCCGTTTTCTGTCATTCCAAAAGTACATGTAATATCATTTAAATGAAAAATCAAGTTGTAATTAATCTTATTAAACCCTAGAGTAAGTAGCTGTATTTTTTGTCATTATTTTAAGTCGGTCAATTTTACTTAAATTTAATTTAAACAGAAAGTTTTAAGAAATATCATATGCAAAAACAAATCAATATAGACTACCTCTATCAGAACGCATAGAAAGCATTTTTTTTAATAATATCTTTTGTCAAAACAAACATTTTAACTAAAAAAAGTTAAAAACTGCAATAAAAATATTTATGCAACAAACTAATGTCTCTGATTAACATCCAAAAATCTAGAAGAAAACACGTAAGAATGGAAAGAGAAGCTTTAACTGATGCTGAAAAAATGGTAAAGTTTTGAGCAATTGATGAAAAACGAAATTGATAATAAAAGAAATCATAAACTATGAAAATGATGCAAGCATACCAAGAAAAAGCAAAAAGAACCTGCAGCAGTTTTACAATCAGCTATGTACTTTAACACAATATCAAAACGGCACCGAGTTTTTTTTGCATAGACTTGATGATAGGGCTGTACCGAGCCTGTTTTGCGCTTCGGGCAAGCAAACAAAACTGCGCTTTCTTTTCCCCCCTTTAGTGGCTGGATAGCTCAGTTGGATAGAGCGTCGAACAAAAATTTTTAACCCGGACTGTTGTAAAATACGAGTTCAAATCCTGCCACTGCCAACTCAATGCTTGAGTAGTACTTTGGTACGCAAAAATGCTGGTCAAATAACGGACGCTACTTTGGATTAGTCTTAATGACTATTTGTGGCTGTTCCTAGGCTAAGCCAACAATATCTTCGGATATAAGAACATTGTATAGAAAAATATAACATAAAAATTCAAAAAAAAAAAAATAAAAAAAAAAATAAAATAAAAGATAATTTACCCCTCGCCACCTCCCAAAAAATGATTTATTGTTTACAAAATTTATTACATCAAGTTTAATGTACAATTTGTCACGATTGTTGCAAAAACGTCAGTTCAGATTCTCTTTTCTGGCTTTTTATTGATTTTGATGAACAGTTTTATAGTTTAATTTTTTTGATAGATTTATAGTTAATTTTTCTTTTTTAATTGGAGAAGAATTCACTAATGATGTCAACAAAATCAAGGATGTCGCCCGCTTCATGTTCAATTGTAACTATAGCCAGACTAGACAAAATTTCTTGACCCATAGTTGATCTCACCAATTTTTTTATGATTCTATGTTTACTGAAACTTTTCTCACACGAAGCAATTTTGACAAGTGTGGTGAGAAAATTCGAATAGCAATTGCTGCGTTAGAATAAGTACAGTCAATGAATATTTATAAATGAGCAATGCTGGTTTAACTATTGGACACACTGGACACGTGCCGGGAGGCCACGCAGTTCAAGGGGCCGGAGTATTTAAGTGAATATTTAAGAGAGATATAATTTAAAAGAAAAATTATTATTGGCCTCTATCCTTGACTTCCTCTCATGTTCCAGAAAATTTTAATCTTTGCATAACAGCGTATACGACGTATTGCAAACTGGACGTTTTATTTTTTTAACAACTGGAAAGAACTTTTAAGTTCGAACATAATGGTGAAAAAATAAAATTAAAATAATTGGATACTTTATTTATTGCTCATTCTCATAGGATTATCATTCTACGGATCAGACAAAAAACTAGAATCGATTTGCAACGGAATCTTTATTGGATGCATTGAGCTATTTGTAAAATTTGATCCTTTCCTCGCCCAACATTTGATAACTCATGGAAACAGAGGAGAAAATTGTATCTCATACTTATCTAAAAAGATTTGCAAAGAATTCATTCACTTAATAGCCATCGAGGTTATGGAATTTATAGGTAATGCTTGGGAATAAATGCTAAGAGCCAGTTGAGCCCCTCTCAGCATTTATTCCCACGCATAATCATTTTGCTACTTTCAAAACGTTTTGAAAACGTTTTGAAAAAGTTAGATTAGTATACGATCAACATTTAAAATGGCTCTTGCCAGCCAGTAATATGTCTGGTATCTACTTTGTTTTACAAGCAAGAATTAAAGAGATCAACGTTCTCGTCGAATAGATTTCTTGTGCTACTCACTATTTGAACCTTGTAGGAGTGAGTGCCGCGGAATCTAAAGGAGCTGCTGTTAATTTCTTTAGCTTTCTTCAAAAAATTTATAACTTCTTTTCTGCATAAACGCATCGAAGTCTTAAAGTAAAAGTTCTTTGCATTAACACATCAGCGCATCTTAAAGTCAAAGTTTCTTGCTGGAATACGTGTTTAAGTTCGCTAAACTCTCTTACAAACTTATTGGTTAGATCAAGCTGATGCTTATTTACAGGGTGATTAAGAATTATTTAGAAAATCGAATAAAAACATCTAACTTGTGGTTGTGCACACTTATTAACAAATATTTTTTGTATAGGCGACTCTACTTGATATTAACGACAATCAAAAATAAAAATCAAGAGCAAAGGCTTTTGGACTTAAAATGGAACAACTAGAGACAGCTATTTTAATAATCATTTGGAACAGAATCATTGAATGGTTAACAAAGTTAACTAGAAACTGTAATTCGTAAAGCTTGATTTAAGTATAGTTGAAAAACTTTACAACTCCCTGGAGCATTACGTGCATCAAGTTTGCTCTAATTTCGAGCAATTAAAAAAGCTAGCCGTATATTTGATCAACACGGATGAATAGGTCTATGTTCAAAGGCTCCCAAGAATACACAAGAGGGATTACGATGATGAAATTAACAGTGGGGAAACAATAGTGTTTTCTGAGCGATTTTAAATGATTACAGACGTTAATGAGATCACGGACAAACTAATGAGTGATACAGATGAAAAAAAGAAAATCTATTCTGAATTAAACTTTCTGTTTGATTTTCTTGTGAATCTCCGCAGCATGGATATCTTGGAGATTACTTGCAGTGCACAACAACTTGTTAACCGATATCCTACTGATCTTAACTTTCACATATTCAACGAATGTCTTATTTTTAGAGCTTTTTTCAGTCTTTTTCAGATTTTTCTTTCGTTTAAATAGAAAACCGGGTATTGGATTCCATCGACCTAAAATCAGCATTTGCAAGTATAAAATGCAGACGAAAGGTATTTTAAAACCTATACTAATCGCAACGTATTTTTAATAATAAATAACGTGAGAAGCTTGTTTAAATACAAAAGAAAATACATTATAAAGCCATAGCGCAACAATTACTAAGATTTTTTTATTTTAAACCCATGTTAAAGTTGAATGCTAGGAGGCCAACAGGGGCCAGAAAGCCTAAAGTGCCGGGACGCCACAAAGTACCTTACCCGGCCCTGTAAATGAGCTGCAAAATGTCAGTTAGGCTAGATTTTTTGATAATTGCATCAGTTTGATATTTAAAACTTGCCATTTCTGAATGAAAATTAGAACAATCTAAATCTGTTTAAATCGGTTCACTGAACCTTAAGAGTGTGAATGGCCACAAAGGAAGTCAAAATCTACGAGTGTCAATTATCCAGTTATTGGGACCATGAAAATCTGGGAACTTTTTTTTTTGTGATTAGTTTGTTTAGATCTTAAAAAAAATTTTCTCGAAATTTAGTTACTAAATATGTATAACGAACGTCTTTTTTGTTGAAAGCTTTTTCTGCAACAGACGCTGGCCCATATTTCATATTTGGCTAGCACTAGCGTTCGATTTTAAGCGATTTTGAGAAGCTTCGGTTTTTATCTCGTTTGACACGTAATTAATATTGTCGGCTATCGTAGTCTGAGAAATATATAAACATGTAAATATGGCCACCAATGTGTTGGTGTTAGTTGCAGTCATACTGTTGTATTGGTTTACAATTTTTTCTGAAGGTATTTTGTCTTACAATTAAAATAAAAGTAATTTTTATAGCTGCATTATTTTATATTTAAAAGCGCTTTAGGTTATTTGTTAGATAAAGATTTAAAAGTCGAAAGGAAACTAATGTTTTGTATTATTTATTCACTTCAAGAGTAGCTTATGTTTTATTGATAAAATAATAAATCCGTTTTAATATTAAATAATAAAATGAATTATTAGTTAAATTTTAATGATTATACTTTAATAACTAAAAAGGAAGTAACGTACATGCAACCTCTTTTTTTTTTAAAAAATCACTACAACAACAACACAATAATAATATATTTCCCAGTTAATATTATACAAAGGTGTTAAATAACATAATACCGACTAGAAGGTTCACTATCATATAGCCTGGTTAAAAAGAGGAGAGCGACCTTGTAAACAATACAAATTCATAAAGTACAAGGACAAGAAAATAAACAAGTTTCAAAAAATAAATACAAATAAAATAAAAAAGAATAAATGAAAACAAACCCCCCCCCCCAAAAAAAAAAAAATAAAAAGCAAAAAACAGAATAAAATATATATATACATATATGAATATATCACTATAACACTAATAGAAAACTATTGTCTCTGAATTGTGAATCTGAAAAGTAAACTTAAGAGAGTTTAAGAAAAAATCACTGCTATTATAGCAGTGCTTTTTTTAATAAAGGTTGCATGTAATCAAACTTGAGTGAATATAGCAGTGCTATATTTACTCAAGCTGGATTGGTTAAAGATACTGAATCTATGATGATTACAAATGCTTGCTTTGATATAATTTCTATTGATCAGAATTAATATTCTTAGAATACCTAGCAAATGATGGTTATATCAGTTACCAATTTTCTGTTTCAACCCCAGTAGAGATTGAAATAGTTTCAATTTGCAATAAGTTAAATTCAATAAAAAAACAAATCTTTTGAAAGCAATGATGTAAAAATAATAGTAAATCTATTCAAAAGAGATTGTCGTTTATTTAAATCAAAGTATCTCCGAGATTTATTAGAAATGGTTAATGGCTATTTAAACAAAAAATTTAATTTGATCAATTTTCCCCTATTAAGGGTACATTGATACGTATCAACATATCAGCAACACTTAAATTCCAATCTAATGACAAAATCCAATGACAAACCTAAAGAATAAAAAGAAACATAGAATCTAATTTTTTTAATTTTTAGTCATTGTCATATTGCGCTATATCAAAATACAATTGTTTTAAAGTTAAAAAGGGAAATCATCTTACCTATTTCTTTCTTGATTCCAATATTTAACATCAAAGACCAATAGAGTCTTCATTTTCTTTTTAATAGAAAAAAGATTCTAGATTAGTTAATTCTCTAACTTGAGCTAAAATAGAACCATGGGACCATTTTACTGCATTTTATTATATATTTATTTAATTTCATTTCATTATACATTCATTATTATTTAATTTCTTGTTTTGTTGTAAACATTTGGTGTGATGTATATTTCAGTACATCTAAACTTACAGTTATAACTTTATTAATGTTCACTACCTCTGTTTGGTATTAATGTGTCCAATTTTATTATAAAATTGGGCACATTAATACAAAAATTATAACAAATAAAGTTAGTTTAAAGTACCAAAGAATTATTAAAATAAAAAAAATCTTAACAAATTAAAAAATATGTGTATTTACTCACAGGATTTTTACCAACCCAATGGCACCAGGTGTACCACAGAGTTTTTAATTGATTTAAAATTCCCAAAATTCAATGATTTTTTTTTTTTTCTTTTTTGTAACAGGATAATTTCAATAAAAATTCTCAATGTTTTAAGTAATAACAATAAATATTCCCAAATCACAAAAACGTGATAAAATATACCAACCAATTTTATCATTTTTAACTAAATAATCTCTTCTATTCATTGAAGTCATAGATGCTGCCAAAAAACAATCAACAGATTGGTAGGGGGGGGGGGGGGAGGGAGATAGGAGATTTTCTGGATGTAGCTTTTCTCTCCCACAACCATCCTCACCACCTAACTGTTTTGATATATCTTTTACTAATATTCGCCAATATTGTTTTTATTAGTGACTTAATTACTCATCACACTGAATAGCTTGGCTCCAACGCCACTGACCCTGCCGGCACTAAGCCTATAACTTATGCATTACTCAATTCTTACTCAGATAGTTAACTTTGTGACTCATTTTCCTGACAAACCTAATCATTTACCTTGACTACTTGATTTATGTCTAGTCTCTGATCCTAGCTTGTGTTTAGTTTCTACCTTTAAGCGGTTCTGACCATGCAATGATTTTTTAAAATCTTACATCTTGTGTTTCCTTTTCCACTCACCCTATCATTGTACTACTTACTACTACCCTTAAGCTGACTGAGACTCTTTGTGATTTTCTTCGTGATTATCCTTGGACTGATGTCTTTTCCCTTTCAGCTGAAAAATGCGCCTCCTATGTAACCATTGTAATCATTTTTTTGATTTTTTTAAAATAATGACTCTATTGAGAACAAATGCCTATTTAATATTGCAAGAAATCAATGTAAAAAGGTGCTGTCAGATGATAAGCTCCATTATTCTCAGTTCACTAAATTTTGTATCTTATCTTAGAAGTTAGGGTTTAGAGACTTGTGAGAAATCCTCAACAGCCTTGTTAACAAAGGAAGGTCTAATATTCCATCTCTCATTCATGAGACTGATTTCTATCTTATTTCTATCCCAAGGATAAGCCAGAACTATTTGCAAAGAATTTTTCTTCTAATTGGACTTTTGAATCTTATGGCCATTCTCTTCCTTCCATTCCAAAATAACATATTAACCCATTGTTAGACATTCAAATCTCTCCAGCTTCCATTTCTAAAGTCATATCTCAATTAAACTATTCTACAGATTGTGGTCCAGACAACATTCCTGTCATAGTCAGAAGTTTTTAAAAATGTCACCCTACATCTCAGATTTTTCTGACTTTTAAACAGTTGAAAATACTTAATAAAATAAGAATTCCTTGAAAATTATAGCCTCTGGCTCCAAGAAGATCCTGAAATATAGCAATTTTAATTTTAACAGATGTTGGTCAGGCCCCTCTTGTCCCTTCACAGTTGAAAAGTTTATTTAGAAAATTAAGTCACATAACTTTAAAAAAATTTTATCTTTTTACTTAAAAGTTTAAAACTGGCTTTTTTAAGGGGTGGCGAATCCATTTCATTGGATCAGAAAGTTAAAAAAATATTTTTAAGTACCTATTTTTATCAATTTAAATAAATTTCTTATAAACCTGATTTTGATACTTAAAAAACCCATGTGGCCTTGATGATATCATAAAAAGTTATTACACCTCATTCTATATTCATTGATCTTTCAAAAAATATAAAGATTTTGATCTCCAAATATATGGAAGGTGGGTCATAAAAACTTTTTTTCTTGTTACAGGCTCTCAACATTGCGATCAGTTATTAATAGTGATACTATCAAATATAAGAATGATTGTGATAGATTTAAAGGGTGCAACTTTATTGGGAAAATTACTTGTACCCTAATATATTAGAGAAAAAAAGTTTTTCTTAAGTAGGTCAACCTGGTAGTCAAAAGAAGCCAAATTTTATAAAAAATTGGATAATAATAATCGTTTTATAAAAATCATATTGCCCAAAAAAATTGTCATTAAAAAACATAGAAAAAATGCACTTTTTTCACTTTTAGTTAAAAAACCATAGTTATTATGCAATAAAATCTAAAATAATAATTTTTATATCAAAAAATTATTATTTTTGAAATTTCTATAAAATTTCGCTTTATTTGAGTACCTACATCACATAATTTTGAAAAACTTTTTTTTAAATAATAATAGGGCCTGCTAATTTTTGTAATTAAAGTTGCAGGTGAAAGACATTGTTCAATCCATAAAAGTAAATACTTTCCTAAATTAGTACATAAAAAAATAACTTTCTAGACCATAACCAGGTTAGCGACTTTAAAAAAAAATTTTATGACCCACCCTAATATATATATATATATTAGGGTGGGTCATAAAATTTTTTTGCGGTATAATATGCGGTAGTGGTGTAGTGGTAGAGCGCTCGCTTCATAAACGACTGGTTTCGAGTTCGATCCCCACCAGGTCCCTGGTAGTACCGCGCTCAACTCGTTTCACCGCGCAGCGGCCTTGTTTGTCAAGGTTCATGTTTCGGAGTTATAGAGTTGAGAGAGGGTTATAGCCACAAATAAGTATCCTCCTCGTCTGTAGTGGCCTTCTTGGCCTTGAGAAAGTGAATTAGAACAAAAAAAAAAAATAAAATAAAATATATATATATATATATATATATATATATCAGGCTTTCACAGGAAGACGTGCAATTTTATGTCTTTATATGACCACACCAAAAAAAATGTTTTAACGATTTGACCACTGCATATTTTTAAAATTTAAAAACGCGCTACAAAAAACTTACTTAAACTTATCTGAAAAAAAATTTTTAAAAAATAATAAATATTAACAAAAGAGAAAATAAAAAAAACAACTTAAAGTTAAAGCAAAAGCACAAATATATATATATATATATATATATATATATATATATATATATATATATATATATATATATCCTTATAGTGTAGTCGAAAGAGTCGTTTAATGTAAAAAAAGTCTCTTTCGACTACAATTTTAATTACCTCGTCTCTTAAGCTGTTTTTGATTGTCATCGAAATGTCAAAGCAATTAATTTATGCGGAAGTACATTAAATTTAATTGTTTTTTAAAAATTTTTTAAAAAACCGCAATTATAACAACTAGAAACTTTTTTTTAATTAGTGGTGTTTTTGTTATTAATTTAATAAAAAACATTTTTAAAACATGCGTAAATGTTGCTACATCGACTATCTTATAGCCTGACTCGCAACGGAGTGCTGCTACATTGACTGACAAATAACCTGACTTGCAAGGGAGTGCTGCTACATCGACTGACAAATAGCCTGACTCGCAACGGAGTGCTGCTA